CTTCTGCCTGGCGTCCGCCTGGTCTGGCCTCCAGTTCTGGCTGTGCTCACGTATGACTGTGAGTGGTTTACCTCCTTTCTCTGTGACTCAGTTTGTTCATTTACAATAGTTTTTATAATTAAGTGAACAAGTATATATAAAACATCTAGCAGAGACTGGCACATATATGTTCAGTAAGTATTGGGATACTTTTATTCTACTGTATGAATGATTTACTTCAATAGTCTCCTGTTATATTATTAGTGAGCTAATGCTGCATAACACATCACCCCAAATGTAGCGGCTTCAAACAATACACATGCAGTATCTCAGTGTCTGTGGGTCAGAAGTCGGGGCCCTCTGCTCAGGGTCTCTCACTGTTTGCAGTCCAGGTGTCAGCAGAGCTGGGGTCTCATCAGAAAGCTCAGTGGGGGAGGTTGCCAATTCCAGCATCGAGACAGTCGGCTGGGTTCGGAGTCAGGTCCTCTGGGCCCTGGTGCGTCTCTGGCTGCAGGATGGAGGCACATGGATGTCCTGACGTGGCTGCTGCGTCATGGCGTGCGGGCTGAGACGGCAGTTGAGTCTGTTAGCTGGGCACGAGTCACAGTCTTCTGCAGTGTCACATCCCAAGTGACACCCTCACCTTGGCCAGAGACCCTGCCCTCCCCCCCAGCACTTCAGGGGAGGGCATTAGACCACCCGTAGGGGAGGTCACGGGGCCAGGCTGACAGTGAAGACAGTTTACTTCTCTCCCTTTCGCTCCGGGTCACGGGCGCTTCTCACAGAGCATTTCCCATGCAGCGCTCATGGTCGGCTCTCAGTCTTTTTCTCAAGTCCCAAGTGGACGGTCTTGGCTTGAGAAAATGGAACCACGAGACGTCAGACATGCAGCCATCAGGTGCCTTTGCCAGCACTCGGCACACGTCTGCCTGACCCCACAGTGCCATGTGGCGCCATCACCTTCCCCAGGGACCCTGCCGTATCATCAGTGCGGAAAGAAGCCGGCCTTGGGCAGCCCCACCGTGGGAGGTTGGCACAGCGGCGGCGTGCCGGGTGTCCGTCGTGCTGGGGCCGTGGAGGCCATGACCATTGTGATAGCTATGACTTCCTTGCCCCCCTCCCCCCGGAACCAAACTCACCCTGTTCAAGGTACTTACATCGGACAGGAAGGACGGAGGTGATGTGTCCCTTCTCTGCTGCTGCACAAGAGTGTCATCAATCCTGGGACTCGGTTGTGCCCTGAAACCTGCCGGGGGCCCCTTTCTTCAGGATTGACAGGTTAAAGCCACATGCCACCCCACCTGCACAGCCCACAGGCGGCCTTGGGCAGCCCACCTCCAGTTCTTCAGGACTGCCCTTCCCCCAGCCCTGCGCCAGCCCTTGAGATTGATAGCAGGCTCCTGCCCGGAAAGGAGGTTTACCCTCAGGACAGAGAGCAGCTCTGGAAGCTGAGTGCAGCGTTCCTTCTCCTCCCCGCGGGCCGTACCGGCCAGGTGGGGGACCTCTGCGGTGGCCGTCTCAGGACCTTGGGAACCTCTGGCCCTGAGCGGGGGTGTGGCAGGACTGCTGTACCGCCTCACAGTGCCCAGGACGGCCCCCCGCAGAGAGCAGTAGCTCCAAATTCACCAGTGAGGGGGCTCCGATTCTAGAGGGAGGGAGGGCAGCATTTGTACACAAAATGTGTCGGTTGTCCAGACCCTTGGAAAAGTTCTGGAAGCTCTGATCTGGAGAAGTAGGTTGTGACGTGCTGACTTCCTGCCCAGATGTGACGTCCTGGGTTGGCCAGAGCTGGTTCCTCAGCTGCTCACCGGTGACGGGCTCTAGAGGGCCCAGAGCAACCCGGTTCCTCCAGGCCTGTCCTGCTTTATCAGGGACGCATCATCACCCCCCTAGACCAGTTTCATGGCTGTGTTTTTGGCAGTTTTGAAAATCCAGGTTTGGGAGCTAAGGGCCTGGTCACTTGTGTCCCTGCTCACCATCCACCACTTCAGATCTGTTGAACCTTTTTCAAATTATAAGGAAAACAGGAACCACCAGGAAATTAATGAAGGAAGACCCTCAGGTACTCTTGGCTTGAGATCGTGGTTTTGCCTTCCCTTTTCAAGGTGACAGATGACACAGCTGAAGTCTGCAGCCCGCATTGCAGGGTCTGGCTCCAAGCCAGGCCTGCGCCGACCCTGTGCCTGTTCCGTGGGAATGCAGTGGGGTCCCCAGGCGTCAGTCCTATTCAGGCTTCTGGGTGGGCTTCAGGCTCACCCAGCCCTGGGGTCTGCCTGGTCTCCACATCACCCCACTCTGCAGGTTGCTCCCTTAGCACTGGACTGGGTGGTGTGCACAAAGCCCTGAGCCCCTCCTGGGGGCAGGCCCAGGGAGAGCTATTGGAACTGCTGTGCAGGCAAAACACACAAGATTCCTGCCATTTGGGCTCTTGTCTCTCCTGGGGAGGCTTGACTTTGAACCATATGATGCCAATGGGCACAGGGCCTCTTCAGGGGGCAGTGACAGTGTCCGGAGATCACACAGTGTGATGGTTGCGCACCCTGTCAATATCGTAAAAGGCTCTGAATTGGACATTTTAAAAGGGTGAATTTTATACTATGTGAACTGTATCTCAGTTTTAAGAAAGGCACGTGGACAGCTAGCCTCACAGGTTGCAGTGTGTGGTGCTGGCCACTGGAGGGAGCATGAGTCCTTCCTCAGGGCGTCCCTGGTCACCACCTGGTAGGTGGTGCCCCTTCTCTCAAGTGATTTGTTTCCCCCTCAGCACCTGGGATTTTCTACCCAGAGTGTTCGTTATTTGTGCCTGAGGTTTATCTGCCCCGCCTCGTGGCAGTTCCTGAGGGCAGAGCCTTCCTGGGGTCTGCAGGCTGCTGCGCACCCTACTGTTGCCATCTCGAAATTTGCACTGATTTTTGAACCTGGGGTCCCACTGCTTCATTTTTTTCCCTGGCTCTGCAAATTCTTTAGCAGGTCCTGTGGGGCTTGACATTCACTCCGATGGGAAGCGAAAGTCTGTCATCTTGTCTGTCTGAGCGAGCTGTGAAGGTCATGGGGACAGCCTGGTGCAGCTGGTGGAGCTCGCAGTCTGCCACCTCGTGGCCCCAGCGAGGGAGCTGCAGGGATGTGTTTCGTCCAGGCTGGTCTGGGCCAAGGGCAGCAGGGGTGGAGGTTACCTCACTGCTCAAGTCCAAGGGCTCAAGGACAGCAGCCAGCAGCTGGTGTTCAGGGGCTGGGGATGGGGAGATTTGCAGTCGGTAGATGTGGGGGCAGAGAGTGAGAACCCCTTTTTAAATGATTCATGAGACACCCATGTTCATAGCAGCACAATTTACAGCAGCAAAAAGGTGGGAACAGCCCACACGTCCATCAGTGGATGATGGATAAACAATGCCTCCACCCACACAATGGAATATTGCTCAGCCACAAAAAGGAGTGAGGCAGTTACAGCGCGAGTAGACCTTGAATTCACAGTCTCAGTGAGAGTGGCCAGACACACAAGGCCACACACTTTGTGACTCACTGTGCATTCAATCTGTGTGATTTTATGTGACGTGTCCAGAACAGGCAAAGCCTCAGAGACAGGAACAGGGGGTTAGTTAGTTGCCAAGGGCTGGGAAGTGGCTGCTGATTGATGGGGACAGGATATCCTTTAAGGGTGATGAAAATGTCCTAAAACTTGATTTGGGGACAGTCACACAATCTTGTGAATATACTAAAAACCACTGAGTCATGCATTTCAAATGGGTGAATCGCGTGGCATGAAAATGGTGTCTCAGTAAGACCGTCTAAAAATGGTGCCTCGTTTATTAGTCACTTTTTCCTGCTTTTGATGACACCCCTTAATTGTGAAAGGAGCTGCCGTCTGGGGAACTGGGTGAAGAGCTGGTTTTGCAGTTTCTTGTGAGTCTTTCATTGGTTCAAAAATAAAAAGTTGAAGGATTATATGCACATATGGTTCCTGTGAGGTCGAGGCAAGTCGTGGCCTCCAGAGCAAAGAGCACGTTGCTCCAGCCCTTTCATCCCTCATCTCTTCCAGCCACTGCTGCTTGGCCAGGCAGTCCCCAGGTGCCCCTTTTGCCTCAGTGTTCCAGCAGTTCCTGTCCTAAGTGGTGGCCCGGAAGAGCAGGTCCTGCTGTGTTCCATTCTAGCAGCTCCAGGATCCCAAAAGGCTTAGGACATCCCTGGGGCAGCGGCGCCACCTGCAGGTGACTGTGGGGACTTCAGTTCTTCATCCTGGCTTTTTACTGTTAACAAATTAGCCTCAACTCAGGGAAAGGAACCAGCACTTAAAATTTTTCATTGAGCTATTTTGTTATTGACTGTGACAATCAATTGAGTAACTCACTACCTTTGGACCAGCCGAGTTATTTTGTTAAATACACTTTTTGCTTGAGAATAGTTTTAGATTTTTAGAAGAGTTTCAAAGCTCCTGTCTACCCATACCCATCTCCCAGTTTTCCAAGGGTCACGTCTTCTGTAGTCACAGCATGTTTGTGGCAATCGAGGGACAGACGTGGGTACATTTGTGTGCACCAGCCCCACTCTCCTTCCGGGTTTCCCTAGTTCCCTCTCCATCTGCCCTGGGACCCCGCCCAGGACCCCACGATGCAGTCAGTTCTCACAGCGCCTTTAGGCAGACCTGGGTGCCCCGGGGCAGGGGCTGCCTCAGTCTCCCCTTCTTCCTCCCAGGGAATCATGAGGTTCAAATGATGCAGGTGAACAACGTCTCTTATAAACTCTAAGAGGTCCTGTAAACATCCAGGCCTCTCATTTAACTTAGTTTTGAAACGTGGAAATTTACCAGGGATAATGCTGTAAATCTCTAATTTCATTTCTTAAATCTGCTCTCTGCATCTTGAAGCACTGTCTGTGCTGTCCCCAGTGTCTGGCCAAGTAACCCAGAGGCAGAACTCCCAGCGCGACTTTCAGCATTGTCTCCTTGTGAGCTCTTGCCAACACTTGCAGGGACACCGAAGTGCTGGCCATGTGTTGCTCACAAAAGCCTTACGTTTTTCTTCCAGGGAGCAGACAATTGGTTCCTGGAACCTCGGTGCTGAAGACCCCAGGCCTTGCGCAAAGGTGAGTTGTCAGGGTGTTTTCTTCTCTGCACGTGCACAGTTCACGCGGGTGTTGGGTCGGCCTCTCCAAGCCAGGACGAGAGTGAAGATGTTGGTTTGCTGTTGGGCCGGTGTCCTCGCTACGGGCGCCAGAATCTTCTCTGAGGGTTTGTCCTTTCCACCAACAGTGTGTGGCAGCAACAGGGAAGGTCTTCTGCTCTGGGACCCCAGGTGCTCAGCGCACCCCTTTGGAGCTCGAGGGCCTGCTTTCAGCTTCGCCGTTGCCCGTCACCGGCCCTGGCAGGGGGCGGGCCCTGCAGTGGCTTCAGGAAGGTTCCTTTTTAACACGTTAGGACAGAGCTAAGGCTCAGGCCCTGTTCTCTCAGCTCCTGTCCGTTTCTCCCTGGCCCTGAGCGGCTCTTGCAATGCCGGGAGAGAAAATGGGTGTGAAATGGCCAGGGGCTGCTCCAGCCCCTCACCCCCGGGCCTGCTGCCCTTCCTCCAGTTCTCTGGTGTGGTTCCTGCCCAGGGGGGAGCCCCCACTCCTCGCTCCTTTTTCCATGAATGTCTTTGCTACACTCAGGGAGTTTTCTCTCTTCTGTGACATTTAGAATCAACTTCCGTGTTCTAACAATTCTGATGGAATTCGGATTAGGACTGTGTTTGTGGATAAACTTTAGGGAGATCTGCTGCCTTTATAATGTTGGCTATTCCTATTCAGTGTTTGTATTCGTATAAAAGAAAAATATTAGAAAAGAAGGTAGACCCCAAAGGCAACGCACTACATGAGTCCATTTAGATGAAATTTCTAGAGGAAGCAAACGCGTACTGGTTGCCGGGGCCGGGTGGGAAGGCGGTGAACGTGAATGAGCACCAGGAATCCCACGATGGGCCGAGGGAGGGGTCCGGTGCTGCAGGGTGGGGACCGTCACACCGCTCAGTGCACTCCCCAGGAAATCTTTTGAGTTGGGTACTTCAAAGTAGTGAATTTTACAAAATTAAAGAAGATACATATTTTTTAGCTAAGCTAGAGAGAAGAGGCCAGAAAGCTGAGGTGGGAGCCCTGCCGTGCACCGGGCTTGTCTGGGCTCCACCGAGGCCCAGAGCAGACTTAGAGCCTGACTCCTGCTTCGCAAAGCAGCCGACCTGCGGGGAGTCTGGGAGTCTGGTGAACCACAGGTAGTGCGGGGAGGCTGCGGCTGGGCGTGTGGTCTACACTGGATGGGCGAGTGCTATGCGGTGTCAGTGCCACACTGACTTCCTGCAAATAGAAAGTGAGAGTGCAGACGAGTGCAGGGGTGCAGCAGCACCCAGACCCCACGGGCGAGGGCCCTCGTGGGCATCTGGTGAGTGTCCTCATGCTGATCTCCATGACTTGCACTCACATAATGATTTTAGATCAGTGGGTTTTTTCTTTAATGAGCTTGTCTCACTCGATGGGCATTTTTCCTCATCAGTAAAGCTAGATCTCTGTCTTTTCTGACATTGGCTTAACATTCCACCTGTACATGAATCATAATTTATTTCTTTAAAATAATTTTATAATTGATTTGACTGGTATCTTGGTGGGCTTCTGTGGGTGTTCATTTTCTTTTCCTCTTTTTTTTTTTTTTCTTTGCTCTGATCTGGGATGAACGCCCTTGTGCAAACTTTGTACAACTGCAGTTGGTTGTTATTTGGGGTACATTCCTATAAGTAGGTGTGCGTGTCTGTCTGTGTGTCTGTCTGTTTAAATCAGGGTGTTTTCATTTACATTTGTGACTTTTCAGCCACAAGGACCCCCAGAAATGCACTATTTCATTCCCAGGGCGCTTTCCCTAGTTCCCTACTACGGTTTTCACGTCTTTACCAATCTGACCAGCTGGGCCACCTGCTGCCGTGTCTGGGTCGTCTGCATTGTCCGTGGATTCGGCGTTTGCTCTCAGGAGCACCTGCTGCGAGTGGCCTGGCTGTGTCTGTGTGGGGGTTTCTCTCTCGTATGTCTGCGTGAGCTCCTCACACAGATCTGCTCAATGCCGCCTGGTGCCCGTCACTCGCGCACTTTTCTGAGCGTGTCTTCCCACTCGGCCTGTGGTAGTTCACCATAGGCACACGAGTGTTCCACTTTGCGTTTGGGGGGCGTTCTTCGATTTCAGGATCATAAAAACAACCCACCCGCATTGTGTCCTGGTCACTTGTTTTGCGCCGAACTTCCTGAGCCGTTTGACGGTCAGCAGTCAGCCGTGCTCGTGGGCCTCCCTGTGGTTATCTGGCCCCTGGGGAACATGGCGATGTCTGGGGACATCTGTGGTTGTCACAGCTGGGGGCATCCCTGGTGCCAAGTGGGTGGGGGCTAGGGACACTGCTCAGCACCCCACAGTGCCCAGGAGGCCCCCCGAGAGTGACCAGATGCTGACGTCTGCAGTGCTGACGGGGGACGCTGTCCCATCCTGCCTCAGGTCTGAAGGGACCCATCTGTCTTTGCTACAGACCCGAATTTGTCCTCACCACAGGGGAGAGCCCACTAATTACATTTTATATGTGCCTCCAAGGGCTTTTCTAGGGAAGGAGCTTTGGGAATGTCATCGGGGACAGAACGTTCTGCCGTCTGAGCGCAGTGAGTGCGCGAGTCTCACTCCCGCGTGTCAGCAGGACGTCAGAGTCGCCGGGCACTCGAACGCGCGTTCTTTGGCTTTGATCCTTTACATACAACTGGAGGTGGATTCTGCCCCCCAGGGGACAGTAGGCCACGTCTGGGGACATCTTTTTTTGTCACAACTGGGCATGTTCTTCGCATCTAGTGGCTGGGAGCCAGGGATGCTGGCTCACCCCGGAGTGCCATGTACAGCTCCATGGAGAGTGTCCGGCCATGGTAGCCGAGGAGGAACCCTGTTGGGGGGAGTCGGAATTGTTCGCCGAGCTGGCCTACACAGGCTGGTCTTGAGAAGTTACGAAGAGAACTCCTTGAAGTGGGCAATGCCAGGCTGTATTATTTTTAAAATTTTAATAGTCACTTCTTGAGCACATCGTGTTTGCTGCGTGCTGCTAGCCATCCACAGGCATCCTCACACTCAGTTCCCCATAGCACCAGGGTCTGAGGGTTCTGATGAAGGGTCCAAGACATGCAAGACTCTGACTAGGGTTTCCTACTACAGAGTGGCTACCTCTCTGGAGAACCGGTGTGTCATCGAGTAAGGGTCACTGCTACCCATCCTGGAGGCAAAGCCAGTGCTCTGATCTGCTCCTCTGAATTTCTACAGATGCCAGTGGATGGTGAGGTTGGCCAGTGGATGGCGATGGTGACACCCTGGGTGTCTGAGGCTAGGCAACATGTGCCAGAGGGCTGCAGTTCCCTCTGGCCGCCACAAGGGGGCAGAGAAGGCCCATGGGATCAGACTGGGCCTTGAGCCAGGTGGCGGTGGACATTCAGGTGGAGGTGGACATTCAGGTGGATGTAGATAGGTACCCATCTTCAGTCAACCTCTTGCCCCTATTGGATTCCTGTAACCACCCATCCCTGTTGTCTGAGACATTCTGATTCAGCAGTGAGAGTCCCATAGTCGTCACCCTATCCTAGGGGACCCTGTCTCACAGACACAGGGGACCATCTGTTAGTGTAGGAGAGAGGCAGAAAACATGGGCTTCACAACTGTGGGGGCCAGCAGTGTCTGCACCCCCCAAATGCACCTGTGCCTGGGCATGACCCAGTGGCTGGAGCAGAGGCTGTGTCAGGGAAGCGGAAGAGGCAGGGTCGGGGGCGGCAGCCGGGCCACTGCCTTCCCACCTGCTAACACTGAAGTGCTGGCCATGTGGGGCCTGTGCAGCCCCTCCCATGGGACTCACTGAAATGACACCCACCATCTGAAGTCCCCTTGGGCCTCCTGAGTGTGGAATCTGCTCGGTGTCCCCCCTTGGGCGTGTGTCTGACTACAGTTATGGGTAATTGCTGTTTGGCCTGGCTGGGTTCATGGTGACCCTCCCAGAGATTTTCAATCACTCCCTCAGCAAGGATTTCCAAACGTCTGCCCAGGCCAGGTTCTGGGGAAACGGCAGTGGCCAGGACGACCAAAGCCCCTGGCTCTTCTGGAGCTGACGTTCTAGCAAGAATCCTGGGCCCACTGGTGGGGCTCCTCAGTCGTGGCCGTATCCCCTGCAACTCAGGGGCGGGATCGCACAGTGAGGCCCTTGTCTTACCGGCTCCTCACATACTCTGGCCTTGGATGTGTTACGTTTCCAGTGGATGGAATGTACTGTTGTCCTGAAGTTCTGGGGGGGCGGGGACTGGGGGCACAGCCAGCGATTCCTGCCTCACGGAACAGTGAGCAAGAGTCCCGACCGCACGGCAGCCGTGTGGTGCCAGGGCTTTCCCAGGGACGCCGTCCGCTGAGTGCACAGCCATTCAGCTTGCGGGGTGACGCTGCGTTTGAGCTGAGCACAGGGTCCAGAGCTGTGGTTTCTAAGATGGTGGCCACTGGCCATGGCAGGCTACGCAGCGTCACAGAGATGACCAGCCTCGGTGTCAGCAGTGCTGAGGGGGCACCGCGGCCGAGAGCGAGCGTTTCTGCAGCTGTCTCACTCACTGCGGAGCATGAGATAACTTCATCACTTCCCGACAGCAGAGTCTCTCTGGGAGTTTCTCTGGGAGTTTCTGAACATTTCTCTGGGAGTTTTCTGAGAGTTTCTGAACATTTCTGCTGAAAGCATTGCCAGAGCTTTTATCTTAAGAGAGTGGCCCTTGTGCGGGGAGCAAATCAGATTGCTCCTCTTTCTCCCAGTTGGTGACTGCTCTCTGTCCTGGGTGTGTCAAAATGTGTGTTATTGTCCGTTCTTTCCGTGAACATGTTGTTCTCCTAAAAGGGCTGCCAAAGTAGAGTCAAGACCTATCATGTTCTGCTTGCGAAGGTTATGGGCTGTGCCTGCCACCTTCCCAGCAGAAAACATGCGCAGCGTATATGTAGTTACAGGCTCCTGGTGCAGCCCGAAAGGGAGGGCCCCGAGCCCCCTCCCTGCAGCCTTCGGCCTCTGATTCCGGAAACCGAGCCG